TTTTCTCTTCTTCTTGCACGGTTGTGGTTATCTGCCACATGCAAGAAAATGTTTGTGTAATGCCTATGACCAGGTCATATCATGCACAGCCAAACTGTGCACAGAATTAATAGGTAAAATAAAAGGGACCCTCACTTCCTCTAAACTAATTTAAGTTGCTTTCAGTTTTTATTTGGTTCCAGCAGCAACTCATCTTACTTACATATTTAACATTTTGACATGGTAATTTAAACAGATTCTGTCATCCCCGCCAATAAACAGAACTCTATTTATATAACACACCATCTTCATAAGCAGATTGACCACAAGCACCACATACAGGGAATTTTTTCAAAAGTGTCTTAATGTAGACAGTTGTACGGTAAGGGTTAACAAGCAGTCGAACTCCATCTCCTGATTTCTTTGAGGAATTATTTTCTCCAGGTTTTGGAAAAAAATCATTATTAGTATTTGCTACAAAATGCAAATACGCCACTATAGAGATTTATTCATTTAGCAAATAAGTCCAGGTGCATGGAATACACCAGGTTACAAGAGATGAGGGAGAAAAACTCCCTGCCTTCATGTAACTTTCTTTTGGGTGAGAAAGCAGCAGAGGGTAGAGTTTTCAAAGTATTTCCACAAGGTTACTATAAATCTAAAGTGGTTCAAAACCTAAAGGACCAAAGAGTGGAACTGAAGGACCTTGGTGGGACAACAATCCAATGTTTCTGTACATGCGGCTGATATAATGGAAGATTTTAAGGGAAGAGGCCTCTTCAGCTTGGTGCGGTGTTTGCTGCTATAGGTCTGCTCCACAGACTTGGGAGCAGGAAGAGCTGCAATTGCAAGATGTAAGCATAAAACAGAATACTGTTGGGGCGCCTGGGTGGCTCAGTTGGTTAAGCGACTGCCTTCGGCTCGGGTCATGATCCTGGAGTCCCGGGATCGAGTCCTGTATCGGGCTCCCTGCTCAGCGGGGAGTCTGCTTCTCCCTCTGACCCTCCCCCCTCATGTGCTCTCTGTCTCTCATTCTCTCTCTCTCAAATAAATAAATAAAATCTTTAAAAAAAAAAAAAAAAAACAGAATACTGTTGACCCGTCAAACCCTGGGGGCGAGGGATGACTGGGTTCTACTTCAAGGGAAGTAAAAGTCAGTGGCCATGTGGGCCACCAGAGATGAGTGACAGAGGAGAGGGTGACCCGGGAGGCTTTCAGATTCACCTGAGATGAGCTGATCCCCAAAAGGACAAAACTATATGGCCAGTTGCCCCTTCAGCTCAAAGAAGAGAAATAGCTGGAGAATTAACAGAACACTAATTCCCCGGCAAGATGAAGAAAGGACAACAAAATTCAACGTGGTGATGCTGACCTCATCCCAGCAACAGAACAGATTCTCTAGCAGGTTGGGGCAATGCATAAGACTCCAATGCACTTAATTTTCAAACATGCATTTTTTTCAAAAGGGAGAAGAACCTCAAAGCTAAGAATGAAAACTGCCAGAGCGGGAAGGAAAGAAGACTAGGCAAGGTGAGGGGTCCCCCCTGAGGGTTACTCCTCTCATTATTTTGGAAGCACCTTATATTTTAAGGTAGAATTTCACTGGGTCAAATGAAGTTACTTTTTTAGGCCAAATGAAGGTACTTCTAATCCCTTCCGTAGTCCCATACAGCAGGTGGGGAAATGGAGGAGATCCTTAGACCTATGGGTTCTTCGTAGCTTAGCCCCATTTTCTCTAAGCAACAAAAGAGTAACTCCTACACAGACAGCAGGTGGGGGGGACGGGGCGGATTCTTCAGATAGGACGTTTTACTCCATTAGGATTTAGGAAAAAAGTCCTGAGACAACGAAGGAATAGGATCATTTTGAAAATTAAGAAACCAAGGATTTGGGAGCACCTGGGTGGCTCAGGCAGTTGGGCGTCTGCCTTCGGCTCAGGTTGTGATCTTGGGGTCCTGAGATCCAAACCTTCATCAGGCTCCCTGCTCAGTGGGGAGTCTGCTTCTCCCTCACCCCTCTCCTTGCTCACGTGCACTCTCTCTCTCCCTCAAATAAATAAATCTTTAAGAAAAAGAAGAAATGAAGGATTTGTGTAGGGAAATCATGATTCAATGAACTGATAAGAGTGTTGTAGGCCCTATCCAATATTTGCCTTCTGTATTCAAAACTCTGCTTACACGATGATATTTAAAGTCTATATGGCAAATATTAAAAAAAAAAAAATAGTATCTCAGAACAAGACCAAGACTGTGGTCATTTCAACTTAGTAATAATGAAATGACACAAGTAACTAAGAAGAAAGGATGTATGAAAATGCAAAGAGGTCAAAGATGAGCTCCCACGCCATGCCCTACCACTACTGAGAGCCCTACAGATATCCCATCAGAAAACACAAAGCTCCAAATGCCCCAGCCGTTTAACATATGAACGAGGCTGTCTCAATATCTATACCACAAGTACCCTGGAGTGTTGAAAACCTGCTCTATTTATTCAGAGATGTTAGTCCTGAATATCAGAACTTCATCTTAGAACTTAATATTCCTTTCTGAATACCAAAGTTTGAAACACTTACTATGCAAAATCCCATGCCCAACCAAACCAGCAGCTCAGGAAGCAGAGTGCTGCCTGTGGGCTCTGGTGGGTTTTTAGACTCCATGCACCTGAGATCAGAGGCAGGATTTTCAGATAACTTTAAAGCCCTTGCTAGGGTGCTCAGAAAATGTTCAAGGCTTTTAAGTTTATCACTAGATGTAGGGGGAGGAGAATCTTTCTTCAAAGAGATAATTTTTCTGCAGTCCTGAAAGTGCTTTTTAACAAACCATAATCACCTCAGTCAGATGTACTGCAACTAGCGAGGGAACAATACAGTTTACTTTTGAAAAGACTCTGCAAAATACTCATTACCAAACAACAGAGGCTGTGCTTCATCAAGGGCCCTGGTTCAACTTTAAAATGCTTGAAGCCTAGGGTGGCTTGCTTGCTAATCAGGGCACACAACTTTTCACCAGCTGAAGAGCTTGTTTTCATAGTGGCTGGTTCATTCTAAAGAAAAGTGCTGCTCATTGAGAATTTTAGTTTTATGAAGGAACAGGAAGTCAAATTCTGTTGTAGCCACTTGATTAAAAAATTTCCATTCAAAATATAAGTGACCTTCAAATTAAATGCTATGTTAACAAAACAGCTTTGTTTTTAATTTGGTATTACTAGAAATATTTATAGAAAGAACCAGGATATATACATTCAACGGCATAAGCATATAGATTAAAATCTTTGTTAATGGAAAGAATATTTTTTTCTAAGTATTGCATACCAAGTAATAACTTATTAAAAAAAATTTATAAGTTAACATAGTTAGGTGGATGCATTTATTCACACAGCTAAATAAAAGGAAAACCTTGAATAATCCATTGTCTAAACATAATTACTAACAATTTCCCTATATAATATAAAGCATTGATGCAGTTCTCTAATTGTATTTGAATTAAAATAATAGTAAGAGATGGGATGAAATGCAGATCTAGTCAAAGAGTAACATAAGTTTTTCTAAGTTCTGGGAAAGATTATGTATTTTATTATTTTTCTTATTTTGGTGTGCTCAAAGAGAAAAACCTGTAAAATAACTTGTATGCTGGTACTCCAATTTAAAAAAATACAACAAAAGCCATAATATTTAATCTCTTCTTTAGACTAATTCTGTCTTTGCGGAGATAGGCCATTTCCTTGCTGCCAAGAATCCCTAAACAGGGAACCATCCTGCCCACACTGGCTTGTCATCGGAGCTTCCTTTCCACAGGCGGAAGGGCCCCCTATATGTCTAGAGATTTCACTTTAGCAGTATGTGAATTTTACCTGGGCAATGCGTGCCCTGGCTTGAGCAGAAAAAAAAATCCTGCATCCTGCCCTTCCTTTTTTCACGGACTGAGGTTGGATGAGGTCTTGGACTTCTCCACGGTGTCGTATTCATTTCCTAGAGATGCCATAACAAATTATCACAAACTTGGGGCCTGAATCAACAGAATTTATTTTCTCATAGAGTTCTGAAGGCCAGAAGTCCAACATCAATTTCAAAAAACAAAATCAAGGTGTCAGTAGGGTCACTCCCACCAGAGGCTCTAGGGGAGAATCTGTTTCTTGCCATTCCCAACTTGTGGTAGCTGTTCGTATTCCTTGGCTTGTGGTGACATCACTCCAATTTGTGCCTCCATGGTCACACTGCTTTCTCCTCTTCTCTATGTGTCACATGTCTCTCTGCCCCCCTCTTATCAGGACATATGTGACTGTATTTAGGGCCCACCTGGATAATCCAAGGATAATCAGAATAACTGCAAATATCTTAATTTAATCACAACTGCCAGGTCCCTTTTTGGCCATTTTATAAAGTAACATTCAGGGGCACCTGGGTAGCTCAGTCGGTTAAGTGTCCAACTCTTGATTTTGGCTCAGTCATGATCTCAGAGTCCTGAGATCGAGTCCAATGTCAGACTCCATGCTGGGCACAGAGCCTGCTTAAGATTCTCGCTCTCCTTCTGCCCCTCCCCATCCACACACTCAGGCTTGCTCTCTCTCTCTCTCAAAAAAAAAAAAGGTAACATTCACAGGTTCCAAGGATTAGGAGGTGTATGTTTTACAGGGTGCCATTTTTTCAGCCTCCTACAGGTATCTCGTACAATCCAATATATTACAAAACAGTTTATAAAACCTGGCAATTTACTTCTCTAGACTCTTAGAAAACAAAATAATAGCAAAACAAAGTATGTGAAGATTATAAGCATCATATTTTCCATAATTTCTTGGTGCCAGAGGATAAAATAAATGTCAGAAAAAAGTCCAGATTATAATGATATGATGATGATATCCAATAATAAATATTTAATATTCCTAAGCATACTTTTCACTCTCTAAAATACATAATTTTAAAAAGATTTTTAAATACATTTGATTAGGGGCACTTGGGTGGTTCAGTCGGTTAAGTGCCTGACTCCTGATTTTGGCTGGGGTCATGATCTCGGGGTCATGGAGACAAGTCCCCCAACGGGCTCCGCACTGTGGAAGTCTGCTTGAGATCCTCTCTCTCTGCCCCTCCACTCACTTGCACATGCTCTCTCTCTCTCAAATAAATAAAATAAATCTTTAAAAAAATACATCTGATTACCAGGTTTAGAAATGGAAGATTACTAGAACTGTTGGTAAACACAGGTATAATCATAACACTCACTCTGTTGGGACCCCACGAAGCCTTATGCTAGAAACCATTATCTAGAGTGCCAGAAAGGTGTAATGAAGAGAAAAAAGTACTATGAATTGAGTGAGTCCTGGATTGGCACCCCTGCTTTGCCCCTGACAACGTGAGTGACTTCAGACAAGCACTTATGCTCAGTTTGCCAATCTGTGATGTGAGAGATGTCCCTGGGCATTTCCCTGCCAATTAAGATTCATAATGAAACTGAAGTTGAACCCCTAATTCCTCAGCTGGTGCAAGTCCAAAGTAATCCTCTCTCTCATGACCAGTTCTCAGGGAGGTTGCAGCCTGCCACACTTTGTGCTTCTTGAGATCTCTCTCCAGCACTACTTAAGCTGAGAGCCCAAGTCTGCACAAAAATAACGATGATAAGAGTCACCATCATCATTAGCAGCATCAGTGGCATCTCTATGGAGACCTTCCCACCATCTTGCTCTTTGGTTCTTTTCTAACCTCATCTCTATCCCACACTCCTTCCATCTCAGATAAACCCAACAACTCCAATCCCTTGTCACGCTATCCTGCCATCCAGTTCTCACTCTGAAGTCTTGGCACCAGCAACAAGAAGAGTGAGGAAGGCATCAGACACATCAGAGGCCCCTGGTCTCCCCAGAACCCTCATGAAGACTGCAGACTAACACATTTCTCTTCCTAACAGTAAGTTTTATTTTCGTTGAACTGGTAAGACCTTGCTATATTATAAATGGGGCCAATACTACCCACTCGGAAAGGTAATGATAAGAATTGGAAGAAAAAATAATTTAGTATATTGTCAAGGCACATATTATGAGCTCAGTAAGTATTACTGCTGTTATTATTATTATTAATGTTACGATTATGCTACAGGGATTTAAATTAGATCTGTGTGGGTATAAACCATATAAGAAAATCTATAGTCAATACTCATAAACGGACTACAAAAATCATTGAAGTCAGAATCATAGTTTGATTCAACACTACATTTTAAAGGGTTGTCACGCATAAAAACAAATGCCAATGAATTCCATTCTGAAAACAATTTTGCATAGTTGTATTTTTAGTTTTGCAGAACTGGCCTGATTTTCTCTTTCCTGGGTGAACAGAATTCCCTCTGAAATCCCTAATGTAGCAAATAAAGAGAGAATATTTCTGGTTTCAGTCAAATGTTACTTGGGTTGAGAGTAGGGATGGGCATGGAGATGAGGCTGAAAACCAGAAACACAAATCTGATTTAGAATCACTCTCGGTGTTTAAGAATGACCAATAATGTTGCTCAACGAATGCTGACAACTTACAATCAATCCTCTTCTTTTTCCCTTTTACGCAGTTCCTGTAACTAATTTCTGCCTTTAAAGAGTCTTATCCAATTTCTACTGCCTCAAATAGGGCCGTGCATAAGACTCTCTAAGCTACATTCAATCCATGAATTTTGATAATGACAGGTGTAAGTACAGCTAATGGTGCAAATTAACCACTAGCTTCATTGGTCTTGATCCATCAGAGTTATAAAAGAATTTATACGTTCACACAAAGGCTCATTTCTTTTCCTAGCAGTCCTTTAATAACACTTCTTAATTAATATATACTATGACATTAGTGAAAAATAATATGCTATCCAGCAGAAATAGGAATAAAGCAGGTCAACTTTGTATCGCTTAGCCACTAGAGGCTTGGGCTCTGAAATACCAAGTTGCTTGGTAAGGGGACTTGAACTTTAAAGCAGTCCCACAGCATGAACACAGAGAACACTATGGTGCCAAGGAGCCAAAGCAGCGACAGGAAACTTCCACAAGGTCATTCACACAATGGTTGTAATGGACCAATTCCAGGAGTGTGAACATTATAATCAAGGCTGAATTTCACTCTGTTGGCCCTGCCTGAGAAGAGGCACTCAGGCATTTAGAAAAACAAACTGTGCGTGCGTGCACGTGTGTGTGTGTGTGTGTGTGTGTGTGTATATATATACATAGATACATAGATTTTTAAAAAATAACTTCAAACAAGCAAACAGAAATGTAATGCGACAGAAATGTTGCATGCTTCCCCTAGCAACTTCCAATAGTCAAATGGTTTTCTCTGAGTAAGCGACACAAAAGCATTTACAGAAACATGCTGCTTTCCCTTTTTTCTACAATAATCATTTTTTCCACTTGATGCTTTTGGTCATCTGACTCGAGTGCCATTTTAAATGCAAAACAACCACAAAAAATGAGCCCATTAACTCATTAAAAAGGTGTTCAAGCTTACAGAATAAACTAAGTGAAAATGGTCATATCTGCTGAATAATGTGTATATCCTACAATTTCAAAATTAAGCCCAGGGATAATAACCAGGAAAAACAGACATCACCCAGAGCTAAAAATAAGCTGATGCCAAAGCTACCAGACTTAGCTCCTAAGTGTCCCTAAAACAATAAGAAGTCATGCTGTGTCTAGTTTCAAGTCATGGACATTTGACAAGTCTTTTCATATGTCATCTAGAATATCACCACGGCTTAACAAAAAGCCGTGTGGATTTTTTTTTTCTTGAGAGGTTGATATGAGGAATGAACAGCTCTAAATATATTATAAGGCTCTGACACGTCCGAAGACTACAATTATTTTCTGTGATTAATCCTGTTTTTTACTGACATGCCATGGGTATGTTGGAGGGAATTAGGTCTGCTTTGAACGGGAGTTCAATATTCTGTTTGTTATTGATTTCCAATGCAATTTATGATAGAAGTTAAGGATGAGGATTTGGGGGTGAGGAACAGAAGTTTGAATCAAGATTTGCTTTCCTTGACAGACCGCTGGTACCAACTGTTTCCACGGTGAGCAGTTTCATTTATGTTTGAGGCCGGAGGACCTAGTCAGGCCAGGGCCCAAAGTTCATAGCCAATTGATTTAATTCTGAGAGTTATTTTAAAAGACTGTTAACCTTAGGATGCTTTACAAAAAAATAAAATCAAATAAAAAATAAAGTCACCTTATTCAGGAGAGGGGGAGCAGGACACACAGGGATTCTGATATAAAGAAACAATATCATCTGAAAAAGCTGTTCTTCATTCTCAGCCTTGCACGACCCACCTCACTGAAGACAGATTTAGGCTAAACTCTTCATTTTATGGATAATAAAACTAACGTCTCACAGATCCAAAGAACTCAGCCAAAGTCAGTTAATGATTCTATACCATTTTCTAAGTAATCTTACTTGAAAGAACATACTGTCTTTTTTGGAAATTATTCATTTCTTCCATTTAATTCAGGTGATATTAACTTATTTGACTCCACAAAGAATAAGCTAAAAACTTCAATCACAACATTTGAATATATTCATATATGATAAAATATTTTGCCTATTATTCCTCATATTACTACAATCTTATGAGAGTTTCTAAACACCTCGAACGTAGTTATATTTTACTTCTGTGGTTAGCAATTTGAAGACTGTTGTGAATTTTGGAAGCTACTAATTGTCTCAAGAGAAATCACGTCACTGGACACAATGGCACACTGAAGGCAAGAGAAAGCCCTTAATTGCCGTGACTTGGGAGCAAAAAGAAGGAAGCAAATGAACAAGCAATAGAGAATTTTTAAAAAGAGGCGTGTGAAGGTGTTAGAGAATGGAATACATTCAACTTCTATTTCTCTAAGTCTGTAATTACCACCTGGCCTAAAGAACAAGCAGTGATTCTCCATAATCTATCTGTTGCCATTAGCTGAAATAGCTCTTAAATACTTGACGTCAGCCTCTTCTTAACCTAAAACAAATTGGGGAAGTATTGTCTCAAATTTTGACTCCAACTGTCTACCATTACATCATAATGTACTGCACAAAGGCCAAACATGAGTGAGCATGACAGCCCACCTGGACCTGCTTTCTTTAAGGACGTCTTTCTTTCTAACTCCTTTGCTAGGATTGAAGGCATCCATCGCCTCAGATGGCAGAGTTCACTTTCACCCTCCTCCCTTGCTCAGAGCAAGTTTCTTTCCTTCTGTAGGGCATGCAGATGACAACGGCCAAAGCTGTGGCCCAGTAAAGACGCTGACACTTCTTTTTCTGCCTTCAAAAGATACTTTCTATAACTGACTTCAGAGAGTGGTTCAGTAGTGTACACTTTACCTCCCCACCACTCTACAAGGGGTCTGGTCAAAAAGTAAATGAATATTAATACTTCTTAAATTCAGGGGCGCCTGGGTAGTTCAGTCGGTTAAGTATATGACTTCAGCTCAGGTCATGATCTCAGCGTTTTGGGATCAAGCCCCATGTGGGGCTTCCTGCTCAGCGGGGAGTCTGCTTCCCCCTCTCCCTCTGCCCCTCAGCCCGCTCATTCTCTCTCTCTAATAAATAAATAAAATCTTTAAGAAAAAATAATTCTTATTTTCCTAGGTAGGAAAGAAACCTCCTACTTCCCCAAAACCAAGGAATTCCAATTTATGCTACTAAATTAGTTTTTCAACTATAACATTCTGATTTTCAGCAGACTATGGATATCTAACCAGCAACCAAATAGTGCTATCAGTCAATAAATCAAGGTCATAGTAACACGTATTGGGCACCAAATTGTCACTATTCTATTTTTAAAGCAGAGAATCCACTTTTAAAAAAATAACTGGAATAGATTTTAAGTATTTTTCCTTACATGAGCCATCCAAAACTACAAAATTTACACATGCTCACATTTTCTTCTTACTTAGAGGAGCGCAGAAGTTTTATAATGTGTCTATTACATTACAAAGGTTCATTCAAGATTCCCAACACTTTTAAGTGAAAAAGATCAGATTTGGATAACAGACTAAAGAAGACCAACTGATCATCTATGAAGATTTCTAAACACTGAACAATAATGAGTGACAAGAAAGACCTCTCTTCACCAATACAAATTAGGCTGTTGCACTTAGCAATCTGGAAATTTTTCTGAATTTGGAAGTTGCTGATGGTCTAAAAAAAAAAAAATACATCACTGGAACAAGTTGGCACACTGAAGGCAAGAAAAAGCTTGTAACTGTAGTGACTTAGAGGCAGAGAGAGGGAAGCAATAAACACGAAAGAGAAAACTTCAAAAAGAGGCATGACACAGATAATCACATATTATGATTCCATGTATATGGAATGTCCAGAGAAAAAAATGCCCATTAAGGCAAAAAGTGAATTACTGTTGCCTAGGGCTAGGGGAATGAGGAGTTCTGAAGAGCATGGTGTTTCTTTTTGGGGTGATAAAAATGTTCTAAAATTGATTATGGTGATGGTTGCAAAGTTCTGTGAATGTATACTCTACCATTGATTTCTATGCTTTATTTTTTTAAATTGTATGCTTTAAATGAGTGAACCTTATGGTATGTAAATTATGTCTCAATAATGTCTCAAAAGAAAAAACAGGCCTATGAAGGTGCTGGAAAATGGAACACCAAGAGAAGCAACTGCAAGGGAGTAATTTAGTAAGGGAATAAAACATTTAGGAAATTGGGCGCTAGGAACAGCATCACTACATCTTGTGCCACTAAATCACCATGCTTAAGTTTCAATGCTTGGGGCCCACAGGACTCTTTTCCACCTCAGGGCCTTTACATGTACCCTGTAATATGATGTCTAATACACTCTTCATCAGTTGTTTTGTTTTGTTTTTGTCTAGCCAAGAAGTAACTATTTATCCCGAAAGTAGATCTCTCTTAGCTTAAATGTTACTTCCAAAAAGTTTAAATACATCCAATCTAGAGAGGATGTCAATGTTCTCTCTCATTTGAGCCCTGATATTCTCCTTCTTAATTAACACTTATCTCAATTTGCATTGTACATTCACTTATGGTTACGATCTATTGCCTTCTCCTCCACTGACCATAGCTTCATGATGGCAGGGACTGTGTCTGCTTTGTGCAAAGCACAGTTCATGGAGATTTGAATTTGAATAAATGAATGGATTAAGAATGGATATGTGGCCACCGCAACAAATAACTTACAGGATTTCACAGAGTTGGGAAACCCCATCCCATATAAAGCTTTTCCAGAACAACTACTCAGGATATCCAACTCTGTTGGGGCCAGTACCAACATAATAAAGACTTCAGAGATCATCCAGCCCCACCCCCGCTTTATTTCACAGATGAAAAAGCCAACATCCAGAGAGAAAAAATGAATTGATCCATTTAAGAGCCAACAGCACACTATTTCTGCTTAGTAGTCCAAAAAGAGTTTGGGGACCTTATGAATTTCAGATAATAAAACCATTCCCCTAATACAGCTCCTGGTCTAGTCCCACCTTGGTACATGGCTATGTGGTTAGATACTGAGAACTCTGACTTCTCCCACTGCATTCTAATTGCTCAAGAAAGAAAAAAATTACTGCACCACATTACCTTTTACTAAAAGTGAAAATATAGTTTCAGAATTGTTAGGGATCTCAGTCATCCACTAAACTTTTAAAAAGTATTTTACAACACAGTTTTGAAAATGCACCAAAATAGACATGGAAATCATAAGCAAGAAAATGAACAACTATGATGATCAAATTTTAGATGGAAAAAAATAGAGTTAAAATCATAAACTGAGGTTCTGTGAGAAAAAAACCCACAGTACAGAATAACTAAAAGAATGATTTCAAAACTCTTCTCCATTTTCTCTGCATGGAGTCTGAAGGTACTATGTGTTAAAGCACTAGCTACAGTAGGCCTGTCAAATAAATATGTAACCTGGAAAAAATAACACAGGAAGCCATTAGCATTGATAAACAGGTTAACCCCAACTTATTTTATCAGATTAGTCACGGGACACTATGAAAATCAGCAAGAATAAGGTCCTCACATAATGATCCTGATCTGGTAAACTTCAAACCAAAAAGGCAAAGAACGGGGTTTGCTATAGCCTGAATGTCTGTGTTCGTCCAAAACTCATAAATTGAAATCCTAACCCCCCAACATGACAGTATGAGGAGGCAGGGCCTTATGGAGGTGATTAAGCCATGAGGGTGGAGCTCTTATGAATGGGATTAGTGCCCTCTCTTAAAGGCTCCAGAGAGATCCCTAGCCCTTTCCACCATGTGAGGCTACATCAGGTTCTCATCAGACACTGAATCTGCCAGCTCCTTGATCTTGTACTTCCCAGCCTCCAGAACTCTGAGAAATGAACTTGATGTTTATAAGCCACCGAGTCTATGGTATTTTGTTACAGCAGCCTGAAGGGACTAAGACAGTGTTAATAAACCAAAGCCAGCAGCACAGTGGGGGTCCCTGGACAGCTTGAATGCCTAGAGAAGGGGAGAGAAAAAAGGAATACTATTAGGGTTGCCAGATTTAACAAATGATAATATAATGATAATACAGATGCCCAACTGAATTTACATTTCAGATAAACAACAAATACTTGCAGTCTAAACATGGTCCATGCAATATGCAGGAAATCCTAATACTAAAAATGTTTTTGTTGGTAAGATAAAATTCCAGTTTAATTGGGCATCCGGTACTTTATCTGGCAACCTAGACACTAATGAAAAGGAATATAAACTTACAAGTCATATGACTTTGGTTCACATCCCAGCTCCACCACTGACCTTACACAAGGTCATTCTCTGAGAATCACCTGAAAGGATTGTTGCAGTGCCAAAATCAAGTAATAGCAAAACACCAATGCATCAATATAACCATTTATCCACTTGCCATCATGCACTTAATCATTCTGTCTGACGATGGCTTGGACTTGGAAAACTTTTTTTTTTACACAGGTTACTAATTTTACTCCCAATTGCTCCTCCTTGAACCCAGACAATACATAAGGTGCTTAAAACCTTGGCGTAGAATAGAACTACTAATATTTTAATCCAAACCCAAACAGTATGACTTGGGGAAAATGTTTATAGCAAATTGATAGCCAGCATTAATAAATCCCTCACCCTCAGAAATTGGTGGTTTTTCCACAGAAGGATTGGACTCTGTGGCCAATAAACTAAATTGAAAAATCTCCAACCAACTGTAATAAACACAGAATTGAAAGCTAATAAAACACCACAGGGCATTTCAAGGTAACTCAGCAGGGGAGAGCTCACCAATATTAGATGTGTTTACAGATGGTGACTAAAGATATAATAATTAATCTGCTTTTGAACTAATGAACAAATCACATGCTTCCTTAAAATACAAAGCACAAAGCTCTTAGCTGCTAATTAAGTTCAGGAGTGGAATAAACACTTGATTTGCAGTAAAGGGTAAGGCTCATAAACAGTAATATACAGCTATCCAAGTCTTGCCTGACTCAGAAAAACAAGTGCCCTATTCAGGGTGTAAAAATGGACATGACGCTATCATTCACCTGTGGTTTTCAAGTCGTAACAAAATCCAAGACCATTTATTATTAGACATAACGTGCTTCCTTAAGGATATTTTACAAAGGAATTACCCCAAATTGGTAATAAGAATGTTAAATGTAGTATTTTATAATGATGATGATAAAATATTTAAAGCTTGTACAAGTTTGACCATGGAAACAGAAGTGAATCTTACTAGAGATTCAACAGATTGGTTATTCTCTATCTCCTTTGTAAGTGTTTGGTGCAGCTGACAACATGTATAAGTAAGAATTCCTAGTGGAGAGTTTAATAGGAGTGAGATTCAGGCTCACAATGCGGGTGGGAAGCAGATGGGCAGACAGACAGATAAACGGACAGCAGACCAGGGGTCGACAAACTACACCCCAAGGGCCGAATCTGGCCTTTGGCCTGTCTTAGCATGGCCCACGGGGTAAGGGAGGGTTTTACATTTTTTAATGGTTGAAAAAAATCAAAAGAAGAAAAAATTTTCATCACACGTGAGAATTACAGGGAAGTGAAGGAAACATGAGGAAGGTGTGCATAGATCAAGGGTCCCTGGAACACAGCCACGCCCGTTTGCTCAGCTCTTGTCCACGGTTCTTTTGTGCTACAACAGCGGGGTGTCGAGAACCAGGAGCACAGACCAGATGGCCCACGAAGACTGAAGTATCTACTTTCTCGTCCTTTACAGAAGATGTATGCCAACTCCTGAGGCAGACGGAGCAGCAGACAGACAATACAAACTGTAATCCTTGATCACCTACACATCGCGGTGGGTTTCACTAAAATTCCAAGCACAGTCATTCAAAGCACCAAAGTACTTTAGAATGTATTTTAGAAAACAACACATGTTTATCATGAGCCAGTTCTCCTCTTACTGCTACACTTGATGACAGGTACGCTTTCCTTTAGAAAACGGACTTTCACGAGAGGCCCGGCACTCAGATTATAGCCGGACTTCTGCTCTTCTCTCAGCAGAGCATCTTCGCTTCTCCCTCCCCTGCCCTCATGGTCCACCGCCTCCCGTGCTGCCCGCTCACCCCTTCCCTTCCCCAGTCTCCGGTCCTCGCCCATAGCGCAGCCAGGCCAGGGCGGCGTCCCGGGGGGGCAGAATGGCTGTGGCTGTGGCAAGGGACAGAAAAAGGAGGGGGCCTCCCGAGCCTCGGGGCTCCCACAGCTGTGCTCAGTTCAGTCTCCTCCAACATTCTCTTCTCCTTCCTCCTCGTCAAATCTGGACATTTCTCAGAAATATAAGTAGATTTTAACTCAGTATTTTGAATTCAAGGAAGACCTCGTATTCTTTTTTGTGCACTTTCAACTTCTCCACAGGCCTGAGAATAAAGAGTAGAGAGGGGGGAGAAAGCTCCCTCCCACCACTGTTGCTAACAGTTCAAAACAAAACAAAACAAAACTTAGAAAACATCAATCAAGTTATCTGTTGCTTTGAGGGCAAAAGAATCAGAAAAATGCTGTGATACTGTCTCTGGTGTTAGAATGGGTAATGAAAAGACAGAAACCCTGTCAGGAACAAGAGCTGCAGGCAGGGCAAAATGGAATAGATCAGATCAATCTCTTAGATTCTCAAAAGAAAAAGAAAAGAAAAGAAGTGATATAAAATGGCCAAGACTAAGAAACTACCCCCAAAAGTTTATGCCATCAGATCGCCATATGTGTCTATACCACCTCTACTTCCACCCCCAAAACTTTACAGTGATGACAGCTTATCGCTTGGAATCGCATAGAAAACCAAGAGAGCTGGGAAGGACCATTCAAGGTCCACCGTTATATCCTCTGTGCTGAAAATACTGCTCGTACAAAGCAGATGTGCAAATAAATGAATCTATCGTATTCTCTGATTGTATAGAAACTGGAGGCTCGGGAGGGAAATCACATGACTTTTTCAAGATCACACAGCTAGTCGGAGAGAGAGAGCTAAAACAAAAACCCAGAACTTAGGACCTTCCCCTTGCCCAAGGCCATATACTCCCTAGTGGCAGGCAGAGTGGAAGACATGGATGACATTCACCCAACGACATTCTATCTTCTTTGTCTACAGATCTCCAAACGAGCTTGGCATTGTGCTCGGAGAAGGTGGGCAACTGCCTCACCTCCCAGAAGGTAATTCATCTGAAGCTTGGGAGTCTAAGCCAGTGCTCTCAATATGATTTTGGGTGGACAGCAACTGGTTTAGGAGCAGACTTCTAACTCAGAATTTTGGCCAGAGGTACGTGAAGGGAAATCGGCTCATGAGAAGGCCTTCCAGGAGATATTTTCCTCCTTAATAGGATTAAAAAGCCACTCCTCATTCTTTTACCTTTCAGAGTTTGTTGTGCAAAGATAAGTTTCTTGTGACTTCAAGGGACATCTTATGACCATGAGGCTATGAAGATTTCAAAGACCTAACCTATCCCAGAACGAGACTTCATTGAGCCGCTGAATTAACCAAAGCTGAAAGCGCCTGTTCCAGACTTGGTGAGAGGAGAAACCATACTGTCATTTGAGACGGGGAGTCTCTTGCTTGCAAAAAGCATGTTGAATCATGTATGAATTCTTGGAAGATGCCCCATTCCCTGCCTTAGCCTTTATCCTGCTAGAGTCTTTGCCTAAAGTCATAGGAACCACAGGTATCATCATAAGAAAAAAAAAAAAAAAAACGCTAATTCCCATTGCCAAGATGGCAGGAGGGCTACACGGGCCCAGCTTTACCCCAGTGAAGCACTAGTCTATTCCAAGAGGAACTGCAAGTGCATTTCCCTAATAGAAATATATGTTGTGTGGGCCCCAAGATGATTTTAGAGCAGAAACTGTACTACATGGTTTAAATACGCTCTTGTAGGTTGGCCTGGAAACGTAACATTGTTTCTATGGAAAAACGTTTAAACTCCAAACAACTCTGTTCCAAATGAACTTTTGAATGCAACTGTTTTAAATTTGGGGGTTGCATATTTATTTATAATCAAAATACACAAGGATGAAAAGTCCAAAAATCACATTTGGACTTTTGGCTTTAAATTGATCAGTGTCCCTTTGCCATTTTGGGTAAAAGAGCTCTGAATAAAAAGGGGTTTGACATCTTGCAGTACCAAATAAAAATGCAAAATCAGAACTCAGATAACCTACCAGATTCCATTTTAAAGTAAATTTCTTTTGGGGAAGGGGGTTACCTTACAATTAAATAGTGCCCATTGTGCCAAAATCTGTCATTGTAACCAATGTCTTTAGGGCCACTGGGAAACATTTCAAGCAGTAATTTGAATGACTGTATGAGAATCTTACACCAAAAGAAATTTAAAAACCAAAACAGAAAAAAAAAATTTATATTTAAGAATGGACCCAAATCCTTAAAGAGTTCTGTGTTCAAGTCAACCAACAACTATAACTTGGTTCCCCCACTTCACCTCCCCCCCGCAAAAATCTCCATTTCTTGGTCCAGATACTAAAGATGGATTGGGGTATAGCAGAAAACGTACTTCCTAGTGATTGTAGCATTTTTGTCTCTATTTCCTCAACTGTAAAATAAAAATAAGACCATCTAGATCCCAGACCTGTTGTGACATTTACAGGATGGAGCATCCCCCAGTGCTTTCTTAAGTCTAGTAAGCACTCAGTTAAGTGTCAGTTCCATGACTTTCTCTCCTCTTCTCTCTTACAAGAGTCCTGCCCTCATCTAACATATCCAAATTCTCACCAACCTACACATATAACTGACAACCAGAGTTTATTCTTCTGGTAAATATGCATATGGTCTCTAAAGAAAATCAAGTCTAGCATAATCTTTCAACTCTATGTGAAAATGAATTAACATTCCTCTCCTTGTAGAAAATATTACGATTGAATGCTCTGGGGATTTTTCAATACTGTAATTACTGTAACTTATACTTAAATTCTGCTAAAACCGTAGATCGGGATGTTAGCTTCTGGAATTGGCCATGCCGAAGAAACACAGGGGTAGCTTTCTTGCATAAAAGAGTGAAAAAGAAATTAACTACAATTCAAACTGAGGTTTGGTATGATACAGAGAATCTCACCTTTGCCTCAAGATCGTCTCATCTATTCCTTTTGAACTAAGTTTCAGAGTTTCCAAAACTATTCTTTCATAATACAGCAACTTTTTTTTTACTTAAGAATAAATTGTAATGATCAGTGAATGCCTGTGAAAACAATGATGTCTGTAGTTAACAGAAGGCAGTAAAGATTAGACCTCAGTGTTCTTAATGCTTTGAAATTAATGTTGGAAAGCAGGAATTCATTCTTTCGGTTAACTTGACTGCCACACTGAGCATATCTCTGTGTACTGCTCCCTTAAAATGTTCAATTTTTGGATGCTGATTAGAAGCTGCCTGTGTTCAACTCCTCCATCCTTAATTTTGAAGTGTTATTTGCATATTGCTATGTTGCTCATCTTACCTTGGTTCCAGGACCTGTCCTTTTTCTGTTTATTAAATCTACCAACTGACAGAATGAACACCAGATAAATCAAAGAGGTGCCTTTGTTCTGTGTAATTATCTTGCAAACAACCGAAGCTGCTGCCACAAGTCTCCAGAATAAAACTTGACTCTGCGCAGGTGTAAAACTCTAGGGGCAAGCCTAGCTCTGCGCAGGGTGGGTATCTGTATTTTCCAATGTACCAGTCCCCAAATACTCTATTTTGAAAGCAATTTAATATTTTGGCCAAAAAAAAAAAAAAATATATATATATATATATATATATATACACACACACACATACACACACACGCACACACATCACAGTGGGAATGAGTCTTGTCAATTTTCCTAAGCCATACTCCCCACTCACAAAATTTAAGTTTTCAAACAAAATAATTCAAGTTAACTTTTCCCACATCTTATACCCTAATAACCTTATTTATCTGTCAGGCTTTATCCCAAAACTGAGATTTATCAGTGACTAAACAAATAAATAAAACATAGTTTCCTCATGAAGCTCTCTACACCCCCCTCCCCAAAGTGCAATTTGGTCTTTCTCACATCTCTGTATCTTCTGATATGTTTTCAAGTCCAAAATGCCCCAAATCTACCTTACTGCCAGCCTGGAAGCAAACTCTCATCCTCAAGTACCCACAAAGAGTTTTCGATTCCTCAACAAGCAGCAAGCTCTACAAATCACCATCACGCCCAAGAGCAGAGCAAATCAAATTGCTTTTGAAAGATACAAAGAGAAGAAAAACTAAAAGCTCTCATTCTTAATCTAAAAACAATGCATATGTATGAGCAACACTAAACTCTAAATATACATTTGTATTTCACCCACACTGCTTATGACTACAGATTTTTGCCAAAAATATTACATTTAAGTATAATACCTCAACTTTTTGAAAATCTCCAAACCCCCTATCTTTCCTCTCTCCACTGCCTACCCCCACCCCAAATATATTACTACAAACTTCTGGGTGAAGGACAGAAAATCTCATACTAAAGATGAGAAACTGAGGAGAAGGATGCTTCCCTATGTAGGAGGAAAAAAAAGGTTTGGGTTTAGGTACCATCTCTCAGTGTAAAAGGAATGGGCTTTAGAGGCTGAGATGGGAATTCTGGCTCTACTTCTAAGGAACTGTTTAACAACGAGAAACTGACTTAACCTTTTTGAACCTTAGGTGTAAGATGGGCTTAACATCTTCTACGATCACTAGGTATCCAAATTAAGTAAGCCACTGGCTATAAAGCATGGTTTCTCAGCCTCAGCACTACTAGCATCTTAAGCCAGAGAACTCTGTGTGGGGGATGTCCTATGCGTTGTAGGACATTTAGCAGCATCCCTGGCTTCCACTAGATGCCAGCAGCACGCCTCCCTTCTGTTGACATTGCCAAATGCACCTGAGGGGGGAAAACCTTCCCCTGTGCAATATCGCTGAGTTATCTGGCTGATAATAAATGCTTATATCTCATTAGTGATAGTCATCATCATTATCCATTAGATACTGGTTTCCAGATAAAAATGGTAGTATCATCCACATTTCAAACTCCTAAATATCACCAGTGAAAATGTTCTTTGGTGGCAAAGATGGGAAGCATGGCAAGACCATAGAAAACACCCAGGAGTTTGATGGACACCTGATGAAACATACTCTCAATATGACACCTATGGTCTTTTGTAGGAAGGAAAGGAATTTGGGGGAAATTAAAGGGAATGTAAAAAGCCCACAGCTTTGACATTTAAAAAAAAAAAATTACCACCACAAAGCACGACTTTGAGGTCCTAATGTTAATTTGTAGCAGAGCTGTGACCAAAATATGGACACATTTACTCCTAGTTCAACAAGAGATTTCCTTTCACCGTGACAGACATTTAGGGAAAATCCAAACTTGACAGTTAAGACTTTCCAGTGTCTATTCACTGTCCAAGTGCATTTGCCCACTAATTCCTTTTGGTAAACTAGCTAAGCTCCTCAAACTCTCTTCCTGTCTCCTTCACTGTATTGTGCCCAGTTCTTCAGGAGACTGACAGTTCTCTAGGGTCTAGAAGACAGAAGGTAAATTTAACCAAGGCAAGTTTGGGTAGCAAGAAACCGGTAGCTTCAGTCTCTCTAGTGTGCCATAACAAACATTTTCTATGGCAAACATCCTCAAGCTGGGACAGAACAGTCAGTCTTTCATACTTCATTAAACCAATGCACATTGCTTGGTCAGATCAGTTTTGCCTCTAAGACCTACTCAAACACTACTGCTTGCTGTATTTTCTAAGAATTTTTAGTATTAGAATCATGCAACACGGTGTCTATGCCTTCCAAGGAAATGGCATGGAATGGACTTATTACGCTCTCTGATTTCAAATAGAACTTCTTTTCTATTACAGGGTTGTAACCTCGCATTTACTAAAAGGTCCTTGTTAGGGATAGGTTGTAAAGTTTGTTACCATGTTCCTGAATAAGAGAATATAAGTAACGAAAAATTAAAGCAAGAAACATCAGTTTTTGCTGGCCCTTATTATGGTAATTACGGATAAATTAGTCTAATTCTAGAGTAGCTTTAGATAAAATATTCTGAAAGAAAACAAGTTCATCTTTGGTATCCCCATGTTGACGCACCTGTGGTCCTCATGGTATGCCCCATCCCCAAGCCCAAGCTACTCTATTCAGCACACCATTTTCCAGATGCTTCCAGATTTCCCATAATTACCTATATTGGTCAGTATCCTCTTAGAGCCCAGATACACAGCTTCCAAATCAATCATTAATCTGATAAATTGATCCACGTCACTGTGCTCAGGGCCCTCTCTAACAAGAATATGCAAAAACAGAGTCCGGTGGCAAAATAAACAAGGATTTGGGACTAGTAATTTTGACCTGGTTACTTTTCTGAGCCCTCGTCTTTAAGCTGTGGACTAATGTCATCTGTCTCATAGGCTGCTGTACCTAACGCAGCGCCTAGCACAAGGTGAACATCAATAATGGCAACTATATTATTAACTGCCTCTATTATATACCACTTCAACGGTTGAAGTAGCTCTAATAACGACACTTTCAAGCTAGAAAATAAGGAAATTATATCAAAATAATTTTCACAATAAAAACGGGGGGGGAAAGGGTAACAAAGAGAATGTCAAATAAAATAGGGACCCTCTGTTCTGCATAAAAGGAAACTGTGACACATGGCCAAAGTGAGAGCACCACATTGATGCAACTTCCCTTTGCAATGGCTTTCACTCCCTTAGGTGTGTTTTTACCTTTCCCATGTAGGAAACATAAATACCAACACTATTTCAGCTCTGATTCCCATGTCCAAATCTCTGAAGAGACAATGCAAGGAAAAGTGAGAAGTCACAGAGAAATGTCATTATTTGGGTCTTTGTAAAGTAGGGATAATAAAAATATGTTCCTCACAGGATTCTTGGGGGGAGTAAATGAAATAATACACAGTCAGCAGTGGGCCTGGCATAGGGGTATCCCATAAATATTGGGCATTATTGTTACTCAGAACAGTGCGAGATCTTCACTGCACCCACACAGCAAATGCACCCCACCCAGACAGATTAAGTGTTAATGCAATGGAGGTGGAAAAAGAACCCAGTTTTCTCATGCATCTGAGGACGAGAAAGAAAATGTGGACTAGGAGAAAGAGCAAGTCCACAGAGCACTCTCAGAGACTCTCTATCACTATTCATTCTCTCCTCTAGTATTAGTTTCCTAGGGCTGCTGTAACTACCACAGACTGGGTGGCTTAAAGCAACAGATATTTATTCTCTCACAGTTCCAGAGGCTAGAAGTCTGAAATCAAGGTGTCAGCAGGACCATACTCCCTCCAAGACTGGGTAGAATCCTTCCTGGCCTCTTCTTAGCTTCTGGTGGTGGCTGGCAATCCTTCACATTCCTTGGCTTGTGGTTGTATCACTCCAATCTCTGCCTCTGCTGTCATATGGCCTTCTCCCTGTGTCTCTGACTCTCCATCTGTTCTCCTCTTATTATAAGGACAGTGGTCATACTGGATTAATGGCTCACCCTACTCCAGTATGACCTCACCTTATCTTGATTACAACTACAAAGACCCTTTTTCCAAACAAGGTCACAATCACAGGTTCCAGGGGTTAGGACCTGAATATATTGTTTTTGGGGAACACAATTCAACCCACAACACCCCTCTCATCTGGAGACATTTTATTTTTTGTTTGGTTTGTGTGAGTTTTTTTTTTTTTGGTCAGGACTAAAGCTACAAATGTGAAATTCACTGAAATGATATTCATGCTAATGGGCCAACTTAGAATTATTATATTAAAAAGCAACTATGTCTATACTTAACCATGTTTACTTCCCAAGCTCATTAGTGGTTCCATGTGGTGAGAAAAATTTCCCACTCACTTTATCAAATTTAGCACATTTATTTAGTCTGAGTCAATGTCTGAAATATACTTTCATACATATAAGCCAATTTCTCCCAAGGTCATGCAGCAAGGGATAGAAGTCACAGATCTTTCCCCTGTGAGTCAATCACTATAAAATATAGCACTGAATTTAGGTGAAAGGAAGTTAGGTGATGAAATGTGCCTGGAATAATACAGAGTTGCTTTTTTCCCATGTAACACATTTTTATTATATTTTATTATATACACATTTGAATCAAGATCAAAGCACCACTGGTCCAGAATGAACTATAATTTCATCTGAATGTTTTCTGTAATGAAGTAGCTTATTTTTTGAGATGGAGTAACAATCACACTTTCTTTCCAATCACAATTCAAAGTAAAAGGGAGGGCATATTACTATCAATATCCTTTAAGCAAAGTGGTATTTAAAGGGTAAAAATGATCACTTTTCCCTTATCATAAAACATCAGCAAGTAACATAAAATATAACTTTTCCAATCAAGCATAATCTCTCTCATCATTGCTGAATTTTTGTCAGATTTTCTCAGCCTGAAATTTTTCTAATATAAATTCGGTTAATTTTGATAAAGAAAAATTTGCTTAATTTGCCTTAAAAAATGAACTAAACCTAAGTTCTGGTCATATGTGCAAGACACAAAGCAATCCACCAGGAAAATAGTTACCAAATCTGGTCTGGCAGAGAAGAGTCTCTCAGCATGAAATCACTGAGAACCATGAGAAGGCTTTTAATGTATAATGTGGATGGAATTTAACTTTAGAAATAAACATTATATTTTACATATTAAAAAAGCCCTATAGAGATACAAGTCAAACATGTGACTGACTGCATAACGCAGTGCAGAGAAGTGTCTAGGATCCGTGTGGAGTCAGGTCAGATCGCCTGAGTTGGAAGCCATGCCTTGGAAAACTGCAAGTTACTCACTCTAATCCTCACTGTTCTCAGCTGTAGAAGAGGGATGATGATAATAGTACCAACATCTAGGATTTTAATGAATAATAGATGAAACAACTATAAAATCTTTGGCATAGTGCCTAATGTTGTTATTACTAAGAGCACAGATCCACACCTGGCAGGTATGGCAAAGTGCCTGGTTTCAAATCACAGCTGCTATGAATTACTGTCAAGGAAATCTTGGGCAAGTAACCTCTGTGAGCATCAGAGTCTTCAAAAGGGGAAAATAAGAGTAACTGCTTCAAGAATATAAAATAATATATGGAAATTGCTTAGCCCAATACTGGAATACAGTAAGAGCTCAGAAAAAAATATATACCTCATTATATCTTCATGGTGGAATTTAATTATGCAAATAATTTAATAATTGGCTTTTCATTTACACGCACTGCAAATTTTTTGTCATTTAATAATTATCCTCATAAATCCAAAACAAAGAATGATTCTATGCCTAGAGGGCCAGAAATATTTTTGCAGGTATGAACAGTGCAAGATTGATCTAGGCAGGTATTTTAGAAATATATTCCCTTCAGGTCCATTCTCAGGGCTCCCATGTTGTCCACGAACAGTTTACTTAAATTTCACTCTTTTTTAATATTTTTTCGCTGCAAAGAAGAAACTAACATATTTCAAAGAAGTCTTGTTGTACAGTCTCACAAAAACCAGAAAACAACCAAGTGATGTGTGTAGTTATACTTGTTTAAAGCATTCGGATACCAAAAGTATTATAGATTGTATACATTGTATACATTGTATTACATTATATATTACTATTCTATATTAGTATGATAAAAAGATGCTCAGATTACTTTCCTCCTTGCCGATCTTTTTCACAGGAGCCTTCCCAGCAGCCACGCTTGGTTCAGAGAGCCTGTTAACAATGGTCCCCTTTCAAGTCCAGGATTGTGTCTCAGCTCCTGGACTGTTCTATCTAGACTGACATTGAAGAGTGGATCCTCTCCTCCACAAAGGACTGCCTGATGGCTTTACGTACCAATTAAAAGTGAAGTCTAGAAGGGGCAAAAAGAATTTCTGCTAAGCTAGTAGGTAAGGAGACTAAAAAGGCTGCCTTCCCGATAAAACAGGCTTAAATTGGGGCGCCTGGGTGGCTCAGTTGGTTAAGCAACTGCCTTCGGCTCAGGTCATGATCCTGGAGTCCCAGGATCGAGTCCCGCATCGGACTCCCTGCTCAGCGGGGAGTCTGCTTCTCCCTCTGATCCTCCCCCTCTCATGCTCTTTGTCTCCCATTCTCTCTCAGATAAAAAAAAAAAAAAAAAAAATTAAAAAAAACAGCCTTAAATTGTTAAGAAATAGAAGTGCAAAGGTTGGAGTTACACAGGGCTTGAGAGCCTCCCCTTTAACAAACACTATTAATTGGCTAACCAAAGCCATTCTCTCTCATGAGTCATTCTCTCTTCTCCTTTGCTGCCTCCTGCTACAGATGTTGGGAAGCTAAATAATCACTTTTCAAACTCTTCTGTAGCTAGGAGTGGCCAATGAGGTATAAGCAAAACACTAAGGAAGTGCTAAGGTTCTCTAAAGCTTTTGCTTTTGTGATTAAACAAGACACCACATGCCTGGTGCTGTCCCTTCCCTGCCCCTCCCCGTTTTTCCGCCTGAAACATGAACATGAGGTTTAGACCAGCAGTGGCATCGTGCACCCATAATCAATGAACAAACACCAGGACCAGCTGTCTGAGCAGAGCAAGAACAGTGTTCTAACTCTAACAACAGAAATACAGTCTTCCAAACATCAAGGCTAAGACCTCGAGATTCTCAGCCAGATGGTTGAGGTGCTATGAGATTGCAAAGGAGGTAACACAATGTCAGACTCAAAGATGGCAGCTGTAATGGCAACCAGGGGACAGCTGAATGTATTTTCAACACCAATATCCATATTTAGCATCATCAGTACCAGTATCTCTGAATACTTAGGCTAATTATTTAATTTATATTTGAGAAAACAGATCAGAAGAGACCTGAAATGTTAAACTACTATGCAAGTGTAAAGCAGTTTATTTTATTTTACCGTATTTCAATTGAAAGAAAAACAGGACTATAAATTTTAATAATGAAAAACTAATAGAACTGAGACAGGATAAGCAAAATGTTATGCCTTTCTTTGATTGAAGCATATATATAAATATGAGTGTGTTAAAAGCAAGAATCCAAGTGAAAAAGTCATAAATTGTAATGCTAAAGAAAGTCATGTTCCAAAATAAGACTTGTTTTCTTCAGCAGTCTGGATAACATTTTACCTTGTGTTCAAACTACCCATGCATGCAATGAATGCAGCTTAGTCAACCTCAAATTATACCCCATTTCTGATCATCTTGTAGAAACTCAACCCGTGTCCATGGAAATGTAGTATCACACTGCACAGCTAAGTAAAACAAGTAATACTTGCTATTTAAATGCATGAGGTACCTTTAAATTGACTTTTTTAAAATTTAAATATCTCCACCTGAAAACAGACTAAAAATACAACACAGTATATTTCAGAGATTAAATCAACATGAAAATTTGCCCTGGTCAATCACAGTACTCACCTCTCATTCTACAATTTATTCATAATTTAACTGATTGCTTTCTGAGTTTTCTTGCGCTCATCCTTCCCACTTCTTAAATTACAATTCACTGATGTAAATGATTTTAATATATCTATACTTAAATTTATCACATCTTATATGCTATCATTCCTCATACTTAAAAGAACTGAGATCCTCCCTCTGTTCAAGGTTAATTTTCTCACAATGGTCTGTATTCCATTTCCTACCATTTGTTTGTCACCTTCTTCCAACGTTTACTTATACCTTCTTCTACACCATCAATCTCTCCCTCTCTACTGGCTCCTTTCATTAAGGCTATAAATCCATTCAAATAAAAACACAAAAAACAAAAAAGCCCAAAATGCCTTCTGGCTACCTGTAACCTAGTACCTAAAGAACATCCTTCTCTGCCATGCTTTTCAAAAGAATAGATCCCACCTGTTTCCAAATATCCCATATATACAACCACTGTGTGCTGATAAATGTTTAGCAATTGGCTTTTCTAAAAATAAACACGTGTGTGTGTGTATGTGTGTTTGTGTGTATGTGTTGATTATAAATTTTACTAATATAAAAGATATAGCATTCAATTTACATATAATAAAATACACAATATTCTTTACCTTCAATTCCATAGAGCCAAATGGTTTCTTTTTTTCTTTCCAACTGGTTTCTTATAAAATGCTTTCATTGCTATTTACCAAATCTAGTATGTTCTGACATGAATGTTGGCTGATATTTTCTTTTACATTCATGAATGAGATGAAAGTGAAACAATGAATATGTATGTCAGAACTTCTCTTGCTCATCAAAATGGAAGTGACTTCTCTGTTGAACTGGATAATATTTTTTTACGTATTTGGAGAATATTTGGAAGCATATTTCTTCCATTTCCTGTGCCATGTATAACGCAATTGCTACATATCCAACATACTTTTGAGTTTAGTCTGTATTATTAACAATATCTCTATCCCTTTAAATCTAGACAACAGGAAAACAAAATCTCACATTTGCAGCATTTGCCAATTTCCATGGTGTAAATACTCTCACTATGGCAAATTTCAAGATACCAAAGTGAAGTCAATGAACACAGACTCCAGAAGAGATATGCAGTAACAGAACGTTATATTGTGCATCCATTATCCAGATAAAATAGACATAAATAACCGTAAGAGCACAGACAATAAGAAAATGTAGTAAAACAAGTAGGAAGGGTGGATTTTAAACATTATACTTATTTTTAATATAATTTATTTAATTATAAGTATACATAATTCAGCTTACAGTTAACGGCTATGTTTAACAACAGCTTGCACAATTCTTGAATATTTAACAATCTGATTCTCACAAATCCGTGTAAGCCAGCTCCAGGTCACCACTGCATGGTTATATGGCTTATACACCTACCACTCTACTGATCTGCTCTTGCTAGAGCCAACATGGACTTGCAGTTACTAGTCCACGGGAACTTTTGTAGACCTATGTTATTTGATCTCTCTGCCACATTCCCAATCCTTTCCACACACCTTTTAACTACTCTGCCATGCTTTTCCAAATTCATCTTAGAATTTATTTTATTCACCATTCTCTATAAATGTTCATGTTATTCCAACCTCAGTCCCCTTTCCTGGTCATTTTGCAAATCCAGTCTAGGCAATCTCACTAATGGCTTTAGTTAAGCAACAATTTACCAATGACCTCAAATCTCTATCACTTAGCCGACCAGGCTGCTCTGCTAAGTACCAGAATGGATTACACAATACCTTATGAGTTAGGTCCCCTTCTTATTTACTTACTAATTAAGTAATTAGTTGGGTAATTATTTGTTTATGTCTGTCTCTCCCAGTAGGCTGTAAGCTTCACAGGCACATGAAACATTGTGACTCTTCTTGCTGTATCCTCAGAGTCTAACACGTTATCTAGCATAGAGTAGTTACTCTGGGAATCAATAAAGGTATAAATTGAAGTAATTATTTCAAACTCAACAAGTACAAAACAGAACTCCATAAATGTCCCACAAAATGTGTTTCTCTCCTGAATCCCAATCTAACTAAATGGTGCCAATATCCAACCCTGCCCCATCTGAAAGCATCTGAGACTTGCCCTTCCCCTTATTCTTCTTATCCATTCCTTCATGACAATCTGCTTTCCCATCTCTTAAATACACTTTAAAGCTGTTCCCTCTTTCTCATCATTACTCTTGCTACCTTAGCTTAGACTTACTCTTGCCTGGACCACTATAATAGCCCCCATGAGCTCCTTTTCCCGTCTTTCCCTACTCCGACTCAACCACATAGTGCTACCAAAACAATCTCTTTAAAATGATGACTATGGCCATCCCTGTTTAGTAATCTATCAGTGGTGCTCTACCAGCTAGAGGATAAACTCCAAATTCCATCCCCTAGCACTTACAAAGCCCTTTATGGTCAGGACCTCATCCGGTTTCCCAGGCTCATCACCTTCCACTTTCCCAGAAGGACCCTACACCCCACTTGCACTCACATGGCTGTCATTCCCCACTCTCTTTCACACCTCTGGGCCTCTGTACTTTGACTTCTCTCAGCCTGGAATATCCTCTCAATTGTTCACATGGTGGTCAAGGCTCATTGTAAGCATCTCTGCTGTTGGGAATCTTTTTAACCCCCAAGGAAGACACCCCTCCCTCTCTACTTTCATAGCACTCTGATCTTTCTCTGACTATATTTATGCCCTTCTATAATGATTACTTTTGAGTATTTATATCTCCCCAATTAGACTATGAACACTTGCCCCAAATTGACTATAATGACCACAGAGACAAGCACATAGTAGGAACTTAGCACTCCTGGTAGGACTATAAAATGACAAGTCATTTATTCTGCAGAGAAAATACACATCTAAGTAGTTGCCGTCCCTTTTAAAACCGTTCACCTTGAAAGTTATCCACTTAGTTTAATGATGGTGGCACTACTCCAAGTATTTTTGGAAATCGACTTTCAGAACTGTCTGGGGAATGTTCTTTAAATTATCTCAAGTGAGGCCAAAAAAACATCATTCTGAACAGATCTGAGGCCTAGAAGGAATCACAGCACAAGTGATACAATTCTCTGTAGAGAATGAGGAATGAAATCCATAAAAGATCACATAATGATTGATGTGGGGAGACTAATAAATTGGCTCAGAGGCATATCTACAGAGAGAATCTCAAAAAATACTTTGAACAAAGGTCATATTACTTAAAGACATTTACAAGTTCTTAAGATGATTTCCTTGATAGATAATATTAATGTAGATGTATAATTATTGGTAACTTGCTTGATCCACTATGAAGCTCTTTGAATTAACATTTCCCAAAGAATATCCAATGTGAATAGGTATCTAACAGAAACTGGTGATTAAAGAAATTTAATGCACAGTATTGAAGTCAAAAAGATTTATTTACTCCCAAACTTTTCAGAGATGTTAATATCTTGATATGACTCTCCATGACATTCATCAACGGTACATACAGCTTATCAAAATCTTTTAATGTCATGATCTTTTTTTCTTGCAGATGTTGTTGGATTAACGTTCCATATACTTTGAGAAATCCGTTGCATGGGACTACGTGCAAGATCTTTAAGCAACAAGACTTGTAATCTGAAACTCTACTGATACCCAAAGCTACAGATGAGGTTACTGAGAATTTTTCTAACTGCCTTACATAATGTATCTTATGCATTTTTACAACATATCCTTACAACAGTCTAAAGAGTGTAGATAGTACTAGGATCCCCAATTTACAGTTAAGGAAAGAAAGGCTAAGAAATTAAATAACCAGTCAGATACCACACAGCAAATTAGAAACAGAGATAGAATGTGACCCTGTCACAGCCAGCCCATGGGCTCAAAAGCTGAACCTGGGCACTGGGTGGGTTCTCACCTACACTGCCTCTTGTACTTAACACAAGCTCTCCTGGAATACACTATCCCTTCATAAATTCCCTATTTCACATAGCTAATTCCTACCTATTACTTTAAGGTTCATTTTATCTACTTTCCCTGGGATGCCTTCACTGCCAACTGACTAAAAATAGCCATCCCCATGGCACCTTATTCCTTTCATGGAACTTATAAATTTACTATCTTACACAAACTGCACATAGAGGCCAGATTCACATAGCCTAAGAAAAAAAAGCTTTTGACTGGCTAACATATCCCTGATAAGAGACAACTTAATGGTCTAACCTCATTTTTATTATCGGGGTATATTTGGGTAAATACCGTAATAATAAATTTGAAATGTTGCTTTAAACATTTCAAAGTATTTTCAGGAATATCATCCCGTCTATACTCAACTTTGAAAGGAAGAAAGTAAGTTATCTGATAAATGAAGAACCTGAGTTTTAAAAAGCTAAGTGGCTCAATAAGCAAATCAGTATACCTCAGCAGAGTATTTAGCACATAGTAGGTACTCAGTGGAGGGCTGGGTAAACATCTGAGTACGGCTTAACTTAAATTTTGATATTATTCACACTTTAGCACTCCTCTCACTATGGTGTACCATCTCCATATACAGCAGATACTATTAATGCCTGCCCACATCCCCTGGCCATTACTACTCAAATGCACGCCCACAGACTTTCAACTGCCAACACTTCCATTTTGTCACCTGAGGGATTTCTCTGGACCTCTACAGTAGGCTGGAAGCAACCTTCAACTAAGGAGTAACTGGTTCTAAGGTGTAATGCCCAAGAAGCTTCCTTGCTTCTTGGGTAGACAATTCTAAGGGATACCTTCTTGCAGTTTGCCCAAAAGAATTAAGCTTCAGTTGCCCAAAATGGTAGCTGGCTTAATACACACCCTTTACTGACTGCATATTCCCTATTCCCACTCATGTGTCCTTTGCCTCCTAAATAAAACAACCTGATCTCCAACCTTTTGTCTTAGAGTCTGATTCTGGGAAATGAAATACCGTAGGATGGTAAAGTGTTTCTAGTTTTAAAAACCAAAGGTAAAAAAGTCAGGGATCATTTATAAATAATTTAGTATAATCACATTTTTCAAAGCGAAAACATTAACCAGCCACTATTTGCCACTGCACAGTAAAAAAAAAAAAAACAAAAAAAACCCCAAACTGGGAGTTAATGTTAGTACATAAATTTTAACTTAAGAATTTTCTGACATGAAAGGGAAAGAAAGACTGCTTTGAAAAGTACAGAAGACACTTTAAAAACCTGTTGGGCAAAGTACCATTTTAATACCCACTTTAGGCCTTCTATCTAACACCTTCCTCAGGTGTATGGGCCGAGAAAAGTAAAAATTCTCACATTCTATTAATCTACTCTTCTTGAAATAACTTTTTAAAAGCTGGGGGGCAGGGAGAAGAGACATCAGGTTTTTTTAATGAAGCCATCTAATTACACAGCATTTCTTAAACAGTCCACAGGTCTCTGATTTTAAGTAAAGCAAATATAAGCTCTCTCTCCCATATGCCTACATTTGATGCCACTCAGTATGTCCACTCATTTGTTCAAAATTTGCCAAACACATTCTATGGAGAATTAGGAGGATTTACTTGTAAAGATGGAAAAATGAAAGACACACAGCTATCCCCAAGGAGTACCCAGTCTAGATGGTGAGACAGAAAAACGAACGGTGACCATTCAGGATGACAGAGGATGCCGAGAGTGGGTGGGGGTCACAAAGGAAAGGCTCCTAACCTACAAGGGGTAGGAGGAATGAGGTGTGGAGGCAGCAAAACTGGATTAAAACTCTTATGTTTGCTTTAAAATATGGTTCCCCACACCTAGCCCACCCTATTTTATTTAAAATTAAAATTAAAAACTACAAAACATGAACACTTATGTGCACAGTGAAATTAAAAGAGCTTCTCGTAGGGCGCCTGGGTGGCTCAGTTGGTTGGGCGACTGCCTTCGGCTCAGGTCATGATCCTGGAGTCCCGGGATCGAGTCCCACGTCGGGCTCCCTGCTCGGCAGGGAGTCTGCTTCTCCCTCTGACCCTCCCCCCTCTCATGTGTGCTCTCTCATTCTCTCTCTCTCAAATAAATAAATAAAATCTTAAAAAAAATAAAAATAAAAAAATAAAATAAAAGAGCTTCTCGCTGGATTTTCTGATTGCAAAATTTGGATAAGTTCATCAAAGTTCATCTCTTTTCATTTTGTAGGTGTTCCTGGTTGGCTCTGGAGGATCTACCTAACCCTCCTCTCAAGTAATCCAGCTGCGGTGATGTGTATAAGAGACTCCAGAAGAGCTGAGATCTGAATGAAAACTTCAAGGAAATCAGGAATTCTTTTGATGGGCCGAGAGAGAGACGAGGGGGTAGGATTCTTCTGGCAGAAATGTGTAAACAGATAACAAAGAGAGATAGCATGGCACTCTTAGAAGTTAGTAGATTAGTACACGGGCACAAGGGGAGAGCTCTGGGCAGGTAGGGGATGCAGAAAAACAAAAGTCCCAGGAAATGAGACTGGAAAGATCAGCAAAAGTCAGGTCTGTTACGGTCCCGGATTTATTTTTTGAGGTATAATTCACATACCATAAAATTCACCCTTTTAACCTGTATACTTCAATGATTTTTTTAGTTTATGCACAGAGCTGTACAGCCATCAGCCCTGTGCAATTCCAGAACATTTTCATCACTCCAAAAAGGAAACCTATGTGCATCAGTAGTCACATCCCATTTCCCCTCCCCCAAACCCCCGACAACCAATACTCTATTCTTACCGCTGATATTTCATACAAATGGAATTGTACGATATGTGAACTTACAAAAGGCCTTATAAGTCAGTCTTCTTTCACTTAGCATAATATTTTCAATGTTCATCCATCAGTACTTTATTCTTTTTTTATGGCCCAGGATTATTCCATTGTGTGCATATACCACATTTTGTTTGTTCATCAGCTGGTAGACATTTGGGTTGTTTCCACTTTTTGGCTATATTAATGGCTATGAAAATTCATGTACACCTTTTGTCTAGAAATATGTTTTTAATTCCCTCAGGCATACATCTAGGAGTGGAAGTGCTACATAATATGGTAACTTTTTGAGAAATAGCTAGACTGTTTTCCAAAGTGGCTGAACCATTCCCATTTTACATTCTTATCAATGCTAAGGAGTCTGAAGTCATCCAGAAGCCAGGTGAGCCACTCAAAGTCTTGAAGTTGGATAGAGTTATACTGAAATTTTAATTTTAGAATGGTCACTCTAGAAGCAGTGTGGAGAATGATTAATTTGGAAAATACAGGCAGTGTGGAGAATGATTAATTTGGAAAATACGAGGCATAAAAGTCAGGTATCTACTGCAAATAAACCAGGTAGGACAACAAGATAGTCTAATTAGAATAATAATAATAAAGATGGGGAGGAGGAACTGGAATTGAAAAGGAAGGGGAAGGAAAGTGAAATCGCTTTTTTTTAAGATTGTATTTATTTGAGAGAGAGCGAGAGTGAGAGGAGAGCACAAGCAGGGAGAAGGGCAGAAGGAGGGAGAAGCAGACTCCTCTGCAGAGCAGGGAGCCTGACACGGGGGCTCAATCCCAGACCCCGAGATCATGACCTGAGCCAAAGGCAGCCGCTTAACCAACTGGGCCACCCAGGCACCCCAGAAAATTGCTTTTAAAAACAATTAACTTAAAACTTAAATTACACAGGAATATGAGTATCATAAACTTCAATGCCTAAAACATCAGGCAAGTAACGAAAATAAATAAAACACAAGATGTAAGCAATAGGAAGTGGAGACTATAACAAAGAGAAAAGAACACATCTAATCTAAAAGGCAGCTACCACTCCGCTCCAACCACCTCAGTGCTATGGAGAATGTAGATGTAGTATTGTCAGATCTTTTCCTTGGTCAAGAAAAGCCAAAATCTGGATTTCATGTTAAATATCCTGATTTTTAAATACAGCCAATTAATGCAATGTGTCTTTAAATTCTGTGATATCAGGGTGCCTGGGTGGCTCAGTCGTTAAGCATCTGCCTTTGGCTCAGGTCATGATCCCAGGGTCCTGGGATCGAGCCCCATATCGGGCTCCCTGCTCAGCGGGAAGCCTGCTTCTCCCTCTCCCACTCCCCCTGCTTGTGTTCTCCCTCTCGCTGTGTGTCTCTCTGTCAAATAAATAAATAAAACCTTGAAAATAAATAAATAAATAAATAAATTCTGTGATATCAACAAAACATGCCTATGAGTTGCAGTTTGTGATCTCCCCAACATAAAGTGAAAGGAATGATGAGCTAAGAATCAGAGTACATACACAGGGAAAGGGTGGACTGACGATCCCACAAAGGAGATTGAGGAGAGAACAGAGGCAGAGGAGGAAACCATAAGGGTTTGACAACCCAGAGGCTCAGGTATGATAGATTCCAAAAAGAGAAGTAAGTAATAAATAGTGAAAAATATCACAGAGAGCCACTTCACACTGGGACTGAAAAGGGAACTTCAGGATTTGAAAACCATGAAATACAAAATATAGGAAAATGAAAAAAAAAATTTGGTGACTGTGAGCAAGTAGAAAGCTGAATAATTTAGTTTTCTCTCTCTTCTCAAATCTTGTTTTCTTCAAAAATCAGCATAAGAATTATGTGCCTCAAAGTTTTACTTAGATTTCTCACAGACGAGCCATCATTAATTATGCTGGCCTTTTTAGCTGACAGATATTGGACTACCCAATTTTTTTAATGACGTTCTATGAAGAAGTTGTGATCTCTATGAGGCATGATCCCTTGCTCCTCTCAAGTTTACAGTTATAAAAATTAACTACTAACATGTCTTATAAACAAAAAAAAGTTGTGAGAACAGTGTATAGTTTTGCCCGTGTGTGTGGTAGAGACCCAAAATAACAGTGGCTTAGACAAGAGAGAAGTTTCTTCCTCAGTCACATAAAGCTCCAAGCTGGTATGGCAACTCTACCTCAAGAAGTCATCATCATTGTCCCAGGCTTTTTAAAAAAATCTGGTTGCTCTGCTATCCTTAGAATGCTGGCCTCTTATCATGGTCTAAGAGAGTACACCGCCAAATCCACATTCCAGCAAGTAAGAATGGAAGAGAGAGCACACCCCTGTGCTTTAATGGCCCATCTGGAAGTCATACAAATCACTCCTGCTTATTTCCTATGACCAGAATTTTGCCACATGGCACAATTCCTAGCTGCAACAGAGGCTGAGAAATGCCATCTTTGTTCTGTAGGGGGTCTGATCTCAGCAAAAATTCAGGGGCTCCGGGTTTGAGGAAGATGGAAAAGTAGATACAGGGAGATAACTAGCAGTCTCCAGCACAGAATGGTATTCAATTTTTAAGATTCTGTTCTTAAAATTCTATAAATAATTTATATTTTGGTTCAATTTTATAAGAGAATATAAATCTGGCCTAACCTTTATGCTTATATATTGGAAACAGAGCAATGTAACATTGCCACAATTTTGGCTTCATCATGCTGGTATTTATGACAGTGCTGAAGAAAGTTAAAGTTAATTTTAATTTGTTCTTACAAAATTATTTTCCTAAGAATTCTAAAGCAACTCTAGTCTTCTTGCCATGCTTAACAACTAGCTTTCAAAAGACTACATTAAAAACTCAAATTATAAAATACAAAAATCATTGACATATTCCTACAGCATATGGAACTATACCACCTCAAAGATTCTTTTAAATTAACACAGTCAATTGTGCCCCTACTGCCAGAAAATGCTTGAAGTAACAACATACATGCGCTAAAGCAAGATGTGCTCCTGAATTTTGACACTCTATTCTCATATTAGTTCACAGTGCTATATTTTATCATTCAAGTACTAGAGAAAACTAAAAATAAAATAGTTCACCAGCACATAGTTGACTACTACTTGATATGTGAACATTCTAAAAACTTACCCCTGAACTACAGAATCCCCTAAATAAATATAAAAAGGAACTCCATAAAAAGCAATACAATTTAAAAGACAATGATTTATTAGCTGTTTTACGATCATTCACTTCCTATAAATTTAAGAGTATATTATTATAAAGCTATCTGACGACTTCAATCCTTCCTAAAAAACAAGCTAATAGGACACAGTATTTCCCTATAGTAGCATCTTTTACCCACGTAAAAGTATGTAAAGTATTATGTTTAACAAATTTCACTTTTGATTTATGACTGGTTTGCTTTAAGAATAATTTTGAATAGCTAGGGCAATGATTAAAATCATCAAGCATAATATGGGACATAAATGACTATTAAAACTTAATTTTTGAAAATACGTAGTACAAAGTGTTCATTATAGAAAGTTTGGAACCTACTGAAAATTAAAAAAGAATGTCACAATAGACTGCATTAAAGTGAGTATTAAATACTTAAATCATCTCCAAAATTATCTTGACCAACAAGATTTTACATGGAAGAGAAAAATGAATGGAGGATACACACTTCCAATCAAGATAAAATAACAGGGATGGGAAATGCACTCTTCTTGCAAAAAATGAAAGAGCTATACAAAATATAGGAAACAACAGTTTTCAGTACACTGGATATCAGGCAATAATCCTTGAGAAACAGGAAACATAATACCAACCCTAAGAAATGGGAAAGTGATGACATGAGCTTTATGACTGTTCCAGCTTCTAGACAATGGCTCAGGGAAGAAAAACAAGGCAGAGCCCAGCACAATCCCTGAGCTGAAGAGATGTATCTGAGAATCTAAGGAGATCAGAGCAGCTAGAAATCTCCAAATGAACTACCAGAGGAAGGAGAACTGAACAGGGAGAGATCTCCAAAGATCTGCAGATAACCCTCAGTATCAGCAAAATAGTGATCAGCACAATATATAAGGGAAACAACACATGGCCAGGCAAAGAACCACCAGAAAGGATTAGAGGGAACAGTACCAAGCACTCACTCAAGGCTGGGAATTGTGCCTGTTCCCACCAGGAAGACTGGAAAACATTATAATTCATGGAGGTTGGGGTAAAGCTGAACAAGACCTGAAAGGATCAAACTTTTTCCAAGTAACTAACTGCATCCCATTAAAAAAACGCTTAAGAAGATTTATAGGGATATAAAAATATCCTGCACTCTACAAGGTAAAATTCACAATGTCTGGTATCCATCAAAAATTACCAGGCATTCAAAGAAGGAGGACAATATAACCCATAACAAGGAGAAAAATCAACCCAACAAAATTGGTCAAGAACTAAAAAGATGTTAGAATTTGTAGACAAGGTCATTAAAACGGTTTTTACGAATCTGTTCCATATGCTCAAAAAAGTAGAGACGTGGAAGATTTTTAAAACATCTAAATTAAACTTCAATGTATGTGATTTAAAAAAAAACACTCTAAATGTGA